GCTCCCATAGGCTCTCCTCCTGCTTTAATTTTTTTCTCCAGTTGCTGTTCAGATTGAGCTTGTTTCTCTACCTTATCTTCTAACTAATTCGGTCCTCTGCTTCTTCTAGTCTACTGTTGAAACCTTCCATGATGTTTTTGATTGTAGCTATATCACTTTTGATTTCTTCCTGATTTTTGCATAGGTTGTTGATTTTCTCATCCATCTGGTGTATGAACCTTAGGACCATTACTCTGAATTCTTTTTCTGTCATGTTGCATGCTTCTGCTTCACTGATTTCCTTTCTTGGTGACTCCTCATTTTCTTTCCTCTAGGGATTGTGTCATCTCCCCATTTTGACTATCACCAGAAGGTTCAAACGTCAAGTTGTGTGGGCCTGGGCCGTGTGCAGTGGGAGCTTCGCACCACCCGAGTGTCACTGAAGAGCTCCGACACCAAGACATGTGGCTGCCATGGGTTGGTAGGAGCCACGCTCACCCAGAATCAGAGTCACCGGCACTTAGTGTGGCCTGGTGTGCGCACCTAGAATCAGGGACCCTGCCTGCGCCACGCTGAAACAGAGACCCCGCTGGTGTGTGCCAAAGATCAGAGTACCCTAGTGTGTGCCAGGAGTCAGAGTTCCCCGGTGCCCACACCAAGAATCGAGTATCAGAGTCTCTGTTGCTTGGTGCGGCCTGACGAGAATCAGGGTCCCTGTGTGTGCATGTGCCAAGAATTGGAGTCACTGGCTCTTAGTGTGAATGCACTGGGAATCCAGGATCCCAGGCGCATGCAATGAGAAAGAGTCAAGTCACTGGTGCTCGGTGCTGTCTCTCACATGGAGAATCAGGGTCCCCTGTCTGCTCGGGGGACTGGGTTGCCCAGTAGCACTGTGTCGGCAGGAGGTCCACTCCTGCACTGTGGAAAACAGACTTCTGTGTGCGCTTGCCCAGAATCGAAGTCAGGTGGCACTGCCGCCCTGCGTGGGCGTGGGGTTTGGTCACCTGATTGCGTTGTGGGGAACAGATTCCCAGTGTACACGCACGCCCAGGCTCAAATTCCTGTAGCAGCCCTGCGGCCCTGTGTGAGGGGCAGGTCTAGCAGTTCCTATGGTGCTGCCTCGAGCCTGCAGGGAGGGGGATGGGCTCTGTGACTCACAGAAACCCGTGGCCAGGATGTCTGGATTCTTGGTGTCTCTGGGTCTGCAGCTGTGGTCACAGGTCTCTGTCCCCAGTGGCTGTAGGGTTCTGGTTTGCGTCTGAGACCAGACTGAGTGATGCTGAGGCCAGGATCCTGGTCTCAAGCAGCTCTGTTTTTCAAGATGGCATGGTCTCTGTGCCTGCACTGGCCGCCCCCCGCATTTGTGGGAAGTTTTAATTCATTATTTTGAAGAAAAAGTTATCGTATACTTTGGGAAGCTTATGGCGAACATGTTCCATCTTAAGATATTTGTGAACACTTGTTTAAACGCTTTAAAAGTGATGATTTCGCCGAAACCGGTTTGGCTCAGTGGATAGAGCGTCGGCCTGCGGACTGAAAGGTCCCAGGTTCAATTCCGGTCAAGGGCATGTACCTGGGTTGCGGGCACATCCCCAGTAGGAGATGTGCAGGAGGCAGCTGATCGATGTTTCTCTCTCATCGATGTTTCTAGCTCTCTATCTCTCTCCCTTCCTCTCTGTGGAAAATCAATAAAATATATTTTTTTTTAAAAAAGTGATGATTTCGATGTGAAAGACAAAAGAATGTCCAAGTCAACAGAAAAAGTTTGAAGACCAACAATTACAAGCATTATTGGATGAAGATGCATGTCAAACTCAAAAACAACTTGCGGAAAGATTAAATGTTGCTCAGCAATTTCCGATCATTTACAAGCAATGGGAAAGATTTTAAAGGAAGGAAAATGGATGCCACATCAACTGAATGAAAAACACATGGAAAATCAAAAAGTCATCAATAAAATGTTGCTTCAATGGCACGAAAGTCTTTTTTGCATCGAACTGTGACTGGCAATGAAAAGTAAATTTATTTTGAGAATCCTAAATGCACAAAATCTTGTGTTGATCCAGGTCAACCATCAACATCGACTGCAAGGCCAAATTACTTCGGAAAGAAGACAATGCTCTGCGTTTGGTGGGATCAGGAAGGTGTGGTGTATTATAAGCTTCTGAAACCAGGTGATCGCTACTGACAAAAAATAATCAATTTGAACCATGCTTTGATCGTGAAATGACCAGAATGTGCCAGAAGACACGGCAAAGTAATTTTGCTTCATGATAACTCACCAGCATATACTTCAAAACCAGTTAAAGACACATTAAAAGATCTTGCCTGGGAAGTATGAACCCACCCGCCATATTCACCAGACCTTGCTCCTTCAGATTACCACTTGTTCCGATCGATGGCACATGCACTTTCTAAGCAGCACTTCAAAACGTATGAAGAAGTGGAAAATTGGGTCTCTGAATGGTTTGCCTCAAAACAAGGAAAGTTCTATTGGGACAGTATCCACAAATTACCTGAAAGATGGGGGGAATGTGTAGCTAGCGATGGACATTACTTTGAATAAAGCACTTTTGATGTTTCTCTTGACATTCTCATTTTTTCTTTGATTACAAAATCCGCCATTATTGACCGGTATACTTGGTAAGTGTAGTCAGTAAGTTGTGGGTCAGTTCTCTTACCTGCATGGTCAGAGACTGAGTTTTCTGTGGAGTTAACATATAGACTGTGAACAGGTCACCAGCTTTCCAATAGAGAGAGCCTGTTACTGGAATGGCTGAGCCCAGCCAGGACCTTCAGTGTGTCCCGCACAGGGGCTATGGCCATTACCCTCCTGGGCGACGTCTCCAGGAGAAGCCCATGCTGGACGGAAGCCGAACTCACCTGTGGTGATTTTTCTGACTTTCACTCCTGTAACAAAATAACTAGAACTAAATATTCCAACGTTTCCTCTTTTTTATTGAGTTGGGTCCTATTGCATCACGGTTGCAAGTAGTCACTACATTCATAATATGCACGAGGCTCTCTGACCCCACTCACAGCGGCTCAGCTTGCCAAGCAGATTTTATGCATTTACACTGACAAGGGTTTTTCCTGGTTCTTGTGAAATGTTGTACAAAAGTTTAAATCTTAATCACATGGGGATATGCAATTAATGACTTCTGGAGAAAATAATACAAAACATGAAACCAGGACAGTCCCAGAAATTCCAATTTTTTAGTTTATCAAAACCACTCTCATTTGTACTAAAATGGGGTCATGATGGCTGGAAGTCATGAAAGGTAAATCTTGAAGAGTATTAAACATTTCAATTCTTTTCATCTCAAATACACACATCTAACACGAGGTTAA